AGCCTGCGTCACAGACTTCAAAACGCATGTTTTATCATGATAAAACATGTGTCTTGAACTCTGTGACGCAGGCTTTGCATATCTAATGTTCTTTCTTTCTCTAAAGACGACCCGAGTATATGGGCCGAACGCTCAGAATTAAATTAAATACATGGTGTAACAACAAATTGTTCCTTAAAGTGGAAGTCAAGTCCGTTCTGCGCATCGGTTCTGCTCATAACAATGTGAGGACCCTCTGATGTATACATTGCCCAAATTTCGAATGCTTCGAATTTTTTGAACATAAAGTCTATTTCATATTCATTTAGAAGCATAGCGAACCAAAATAGTGTTAGATATTCAGACAGTACATCATATTTTAAAAAATACAACAGTTCAAAATGTAAACAAACCGTTTACATACGTGTTTCACATACGGACTTGACTTCCACTTTAATTTTTATAAACATTCCAATACACCCTTTCGATAATTACGTCATCTGGCCTGGGAGCCTTGCATTCACTGAAAATCGTCCTTGAAATTTCATCTTTACTATAGGGTAAAAACCCTGTATTACGTTTTACTAATTTTCACAATATTTTTGCTTCCATTAGATATGGGACCTCCCAACTGGATCATCTGTCTTCAAACTCAATTTACCAAAAAGCAAGGAAGCAGTTGCTATGGCAACCTTGCCATGTCCCAGTCCTTGCGTTGTCGCCGGGATGCAAAATGCGACTGTCAGGTGAGACCTCGGCGCTTATTTCTTATTTTAAGCACTCAGTATGCTTATTGATTATTAGACTTTTCCTGACACTCATATTGGTAGTACAACAAAATTTGTCTGTCTCAAGCGGGATGCGAACGAACGTATCTTCGGGAAATCTAAAATGCTAGGAATATACTAGATGATCTCGGTACTCGGAAAAGGCCTGGCACTAGTTGTAAATAGAAATCCATTTCTGGTTTAAAATTACTCTATATCTCATTAACAGTATTAGATTTCTAACTCAAATTTGTCCCAGACATTCATTTCCCTGTGCAAGACACAGACATAAAGTTTCAAACAGTTTCACAAAAGATCAAGGCGTCGCAAGTGATTAAATGTACGAAACTGGATTTCTATTCTGTTGCTAGTCCCAGTCCTTTTGCTCACCGTCAGATCACCTGGAAATATTGAATGCTTTTTAGCATTTCTAAATCAGTAGATGATTTTGCATTGGACTTGAAACATATGTAAAGTACTTTTAAATATGACAAGATTCGTTTCCAATATCCTTTTGCCAAATAACTAACTCCATGGGTAAGGCGGTGGTCAATAACAGCGCATTCCATAATAAGCTATGACTTATAGGCTTGTGTTAACACCATTTTACTGTAAGATCTCACGAAAAGTCTAATGTTTGGGTATTTTAGATTTATCGATGCTCGTGAAGGGAATTTTGGTCATACATGGAGAGTAACAAGCAACAGTCTTGCAGGTTCTGTAAAACTATTACTAATATTGTAGACGTTTATCACGCTTTTTGACATTTGCTTTTTATGGCGCTAGAATCTTTAATAACCTAACCCAATGACATGAAAACTGAAACCTCGATACGGCATTTAAAACAAACCTAATCAAAGGCCATTGAGGTCGACTCACGCATGAGATCGAATGAAAGTGACAGAAAGAATTAGAGAAGTTTGCAGTTGGTTTTGCAAACCGGCACCGTGCGAATTTGTCGTGCTTCTTTTGCCAAATCAAAAGAACGAACGCGTGCTCCAGCCCGATTTTCGATTCGCAGGCAAGCAGTGCGCGCAAAGTAGGCTGATCATTTCCCATTGTTTAACTGCCACACACTCGAGTAACCACAAAGACTCACAGATGTTGCTTCGCAGTCCGTGAGTCAAAAACGCTTGAATTACTAAATTAACAGTGTATGAAACATTCTTTTCTAGACCATGGATTTTATACATTTGCACATTTGCGTATAATATTTATATTTTGACAGGCTAGATTTATATTTTGTATAGTTTTTATGATAGTATAGATTTATATTTTATGTAAACTAGTTACAATATGAGCAGCCGATTTTTATGGGCGTTTCCCCCATGGGGACAATCTCACGCTTCATTAGCATGCATTTAAAATCTGAATGAGTATTGATAACTTTCATAAACGTCCCTGCTTCTGAATTATAGCATTCATAACTTTCATAAACGTCCCTCTAACATGACTTTATTATACTGGTCTTCAATGCATGCGGTTTACAAGTGTGCACATAAATGTGACCTAAATACCGCGCCATGATTTGTTTGTAGCCTTATCAATTATTTGTGAATTTTACAAGTAGTTTTTATGAATTTTTAGTATGATGTAAACACAAGTTCTTGTTGGATAACAGTAACACTGGCTTTACTGAACGATGAAAATAAAATAATGATCATATTAGTATTATTATTATTATTATTTTTCTCTCTCGTCAATTCGTAGGTCATATTAGAAGTTTATGTGTGACCCAGGATGGAACGTCCATGGCCGTCGGATTTTCCAGCGGATTTTTATCACTGGTAGATCTTCGTGGAGGAATTCTAACCAGGCAATGGAAAGCACATGAAGCTGATATTATACAGGTCAGGGACGACTCACACATTGAGGACAATGCGATTAGTTCTGGATTTTAAATGTCGGTTAATAAGGATTATATTAAGTTCTAGATACGAATCCGTGATCATAGATTAGTGAATAGATGGCTCACTCCTTTGATGCTTTTGACGCTGCCGGCACCCACGCATGTTCTTGCCAGAGTAATGACGGCCTAGCAAGAACTATAATAAAATGTATTGTGAAATTGACATCCGTGCTACTAAATCCTGTATTTTTCTAGCCTGCATATAGCGGCTCAGAGAAAGGAGAGCCTGCACGAAACCCCATGCCAAACCATTTCCGCCCACCTAGCCTGCGGGCTACGCCCACTTTAAACAGATGTCAAATTTGGCCAATCACACAGATTGTTTACGTTGCAAATGTACTTGTCAAAATGAAATATAAATATAGATTGCTGCATGTTCGCAAATTTCTAAACGAAATAGTATACGGATGTCTAAAGAAAATTGAAGTCTGTGGGAATAGCGCTAGGCCTAGGGCAATATTCATCGTTGTCACAAGTAGTTTGCAATCCGTATCTACGATATTTCGTAGCTTTCTCGCACAAGTAGTCTACAAATATAATTTATAGTTTCGATAGCGGTCAACCGTGATGTATTAAATGTTAAAGTTTCGGGCGATGCAGAGAAGAGAATATTAAAGGTGTCTAAAGTCATCACTTCAGAGAGAGCAAGTCCTGTTCATAAGACATAAGCATTTACAGCAATTCTCTCCTGGCACAAAATTATTAGCTACAAAATCATGAAGAAAAAATCTATTTGTTGTCGATGAATTGATTAAAACGAACACGCTTGTGAAAGAGGCGCTGCTAACAGACATCAATCCAATGAAGACACCACAGTCAATATCTCTAGAGCTTTGTGAACCAAGTTCGTAAATACCTTTATTGTTCAACCGTAAATTGTAGCCTTTTAATAAGCTCTTTTGAATGCAAAACTCAAAGAAACGCCTCTCAATAATAATACATCCGCCGTGTTTGTATGAATTTTAGCATAAATTAGCATATTTTTTTCATTTTGAACCAATCAGATTTCTCGTCCTCTGAGAGAACGAGTAAATACGGTTTAGCATGGGGTTTCGTGCAGGCTGCCCCTTCTCTGACAGCCGCTACGCAGGCTAGTATTTTTCCGCTTTCGGGGGTTTGAATGGAAAAATAAATCAGAATTATAAAAATACAGGATTTAGTAGCACCGATGTCAATTTCGCAATGCATTTTACTACAGTTACTTGCTAGGCCGCCATTACTCTGGCAAGAACATGCGTGGGTGCCGGCAGCGTCAAAAACATCAAAGGAGTGAGCCATCTATTCATTTCCTAATCTATACCGTGATGGTGAAGCAACGGTTGAAAAAGTTTTGCATTTCCGGTGCGTGGGAAATTTCTCGCGTACGATGCTCTGCAGTTTAAAATTTATATCTAATATGAAAATATAAGTCTAGGGGAGACGGGAAATTCTTCGTACATAGCTTTTGTACTTGCTAGTCTCTTTTAATTGCTTCTTGTTCACGTAGGTTAAACCCTACACAAACTCAAGTTTTGTTACGTCATCATCGACACAGAAAATGGAACTATGGGGCCATGATGCAGTTTCATTGTGTTCACTTTCTACTTTAACTGGTGGGTATAGCTTTCACGCGCTTATGATGAGGATAATAGTTGCTGCTCAAAACCACTATGCTACGCTGTGTGATGGCCATGTCAAACTTATATTTTATGTAAATTTTATGTATATTTTATATTTTAGTACCTAGTACATAAAATATAAATCAGAAGACAAGGCTTCGCATACTCCGTGTGATATTGCAAACTCTACGGTTTTTCGAATTTCAATTGAAGAATTACTTTATTCATCAGTCCAGTTAAGTTATGTCAGATCAGTGAGTTTTTCAAATGCACTCATTTCAGGATCTGGAGAGTCTATTCAAAGTATCCACGTTCATGACAAAGTCATAGTTTCAATGGCTGCAAACAATCGTATTGCATGGCACACCTTTACGGACAAGGAGGTAACTTAATTTATTACTTTACTAAAATTGGTGGATTTTTGCGGTCTGCCCTACCACCTGAAAACAATGTCCAAATCCTCCTACTCATGTGTATAATACAAACGAATCTCTTCTCGCGGACATATAGGACTTCCTAATATGGAAGCCTTTCAATTATGGACACGTTTAAAAAGAATACCTCTCAAAGATGGACAACTCTCTTCTTTTCAAAATTGTCCGCTGGTACTGTTTTGCTGTAAAACACAGTCCACCTTCTCTAATAGGGAGACGGAAGGGAAAGCAACATGTATTTGCTCTCTGTTGCAGGGATTTAGTATCCGCATCAGAAAGGTTAGGGAGTATTAGAGAGTTGTCCGAATTAGAGAGGTGTATGTGGCGAGTTGTCCGAATTAGGGAGGTGTCTGTATTAGAGTGGTGTCCGAATTAGAGAGGTGTCTGTATTAGAGAGTTGTCCGAATTAGAGAGGTGTCTATATTAGAGAGTTGTCCGAATTATAGAGTTGTCCGAATTAATGAGTTGTCCGAATTAGAAAGGTGTCTGTATTAGAGAGTTGTCCGAATTAGAGAGGTGTGTGTGTTAGAGAGTTGTCCGAATTATAGAGGTGTCTGTATTAGAGAGTTGTCCGAATTAGAGAGCTGTCTGTATTAAATGGTTTCCGAATTAGAGAGGTGTCTGTATTAGAGAGTTGTCCGAATTAGAGAGTTGTCCGAATTAGAGAGGTGTCTGTATTAGAGAATTGTCCGAATTAGAAAGGTGTCTGTATTAGAAAGGTGTATGTATTAGAAAGGTGTCTGTATTAGAAAGGTGTCTGTATTGGGGAATCCAGTCCAGCAAAACAAAGTAATATGCTTGGCGAATTTACTCACGAATTTAGTGGCGAATTTGCTCATTGTTAAAGAGTTCGAGATCATTGTTTTGTATTATATATGGACTGTATTTGTTGCGATACAAATATGCAAGGATTGTTTTTCTTCTTAGCCAACATATACCCATCTTCGGCTTGGAGGTGACGTTTTTAAAGGCAACATGACATGTTTTGGTGTTCTTCCACTAAATAGAGGCTATTTACTGGGCAGTGACAATGGTAACATCACATTAATGGGATAAGACGGTATTATTACTGGTCCGTGTATTGCCATCGCGCTGGTAATGTAAAAATCATAGTAATAATAAATATCTAATATTTCTGTGCAACTTACGTCTTACAATAGGTGGAATTTAATCTATGATCTAAAACTAGCTGTCTAGGACCAAATTATGTGTCTGCATGCCATGCATACATACAATGGCTGCCATGTGAATGACAGAATATTAGAAGTTCTCACGGTCTCTGATTAATGGTTGCAAAGGAGATGTATGTACTATTTAAAACACGAACAGGAGTGCTTTATCAGATGCAAAACACGAGAGCGCAGCTCGAGTGTTTTATACCTGATAAAGCACGGACTGCGAGTGTTTTAAATGGCTTCAAACACTCATTAATAATTCATAAGCTTATTGGCAAATCATGTCAACCATAATATGTCACGTGCAGTGGTTTTAAAGCTGATAAAACACTCCTAATTAGTATTCTTTAT